ATCTTTTAATACAGACAAAATATTAAAACACATTTTTTCTTACTGCCACCAAATTGCTGCAAATTCAGCTCTTTCTGTGTTTTTGTGCATTTGGTTTGAACACAAAAATAAATTTCCACAGATAAAATGGGCTTTGTCCAAACTGGGCCTCCTTAAAACTTGAGATAAAAGTCTTCATAATCCAGGCTCAAGTGAAAATCCCTTCCCCTTTCCCGTGTCTTATTTTTCTGTTCAAAATGCTGACTCATGCCTTATAGTCCTGTTAACGTCCCCACTGCTCCCAGTTTCCCACTGGCCATAACCAGTCACGAAACTTTATCATCCAGTGATGCCAGGCTGCATCACGTGTCAGCCCGGACTCCCACAAATCTGACTGCGCTCATGTTTCTCTCCACAAAAAAACTATCTGGAACTTGTTCTTTCAACACTTGATTTGTGAAAAGGGATAGCTAATATTCATACTTCAGAGCAAATTCTGAGTAATAAAGAGATGAGGGGGCACAAGGGTTAAGATTATCCAGACATTTTATAAAAAGGAAGACAGCCAAGGCAGAAGGAGTGTAGATATTTTCAGGTCAAATGTGGGTGTACAATAATATGATCATATAAAACCCAATCTTTATGGTCAGGTTCCAAATCCCATTAAACTATCTGCCAGCTCTGGCTGTGGACTTTTTTCTGCTGGTTTATAAGAGAAATGATGGTAACATGGGACAGTGTCTGACAAACTCATATTCTTGCTTGGAAATCCGGGTGTCTGTCAGTTGTTTTAGTGTTTCTCACTTTTTTTTTTTTTTTTTTGCCAAACTGCTGAATTCAATAGACCTTTAACAGTATTTGCTCTGCATCAGCTATTTTCATTATGGACAAAATGCTAAAGAAAAGTGTACAATTGAGGTTTTAGCCCTCAGCCTCTACAACCACCCGTGTAGGATTTGTTTTTCCTCTGAACCCTGTCATTGTGGTGTTTGCATAGAATTTCTCTGGGTACTCTCATGTTCTTCCAACAGTATTAAAGGTATGGTTAACTGATGTCACTCTGAGATTTTGCTGAACAAGAAGACGGTCTTCTACACCTATCTCCTGCATCAAAAATCGACAGTGAAAATCTAGGATTTGAAAATCCTCAGATCTACATCACACTGTTAATTCAACACATTCTCAGACCCTAAGTGTCGAAAAATGACACGGGGTGACCAAGCGTTTGTTTCTGATGTGTTGGGTGCCCCAACCGCGCTGTGCCAGAGCGTCGTTACCCGATGCCCGCAGTAAAAACAGATATCTGAACAAATTCTGACCTTCACCCTCTTGCTATTTAACCTTCCCCTCACCCCCATCCTAATGTTAACCAGCTTGCGCATGCAAAGCTATGTCATGCGTTTCATCGTTCCTCTCAAACACAGTTCACGGAAAATTTAGACTGACAATGTGGGTTAAGGTTAGGATGGGGGTGAGAGGAAGGCTAAATCGCTAGAGTTTAGAAGTGAAATATCTGTGAATTGTCCATTTTACCACAGGCGTCAGATACCGCGATGCTCTAGCACAACTCCCAATGCGTCGGAAACAAACGCTTGGTCACCCTGCGTCATTTTTCGACGCTTAGGGTGTGAGAATGTGTTGGTTAATTAGTGTTCATGGACTCACTGATTTTTAAATCACAATGGGGAAGGCTGTTGTTGTTTTAACTACCAGGAAACAGCAGAGAACGTCTTGGCTAATTTTAGCTAACTGTTAGCATTAGCAACTCCACCACATGGAGGAACTCCTCCAGACTTTTGTTATTTGTGGAGATTAAACATCCATGCCGCAAGTCAGTGGTAGAGTTGTATTGCTGTTATCCAATCCAGGGTGAGATGTCCAAATATCAGGAAATAAGACTCCCCCGAAGCTCAGATGTGATGTTGCAGACTTGGCCTGCTGAGCCAGGGATTTGTGGGCTTTTTTGTGCCCTGAGTTCTGCCTGCAAGGCATTCATTCCTTCTAGAGACCACTGCAAATGTATTGAATAAATGAGTAATCCACTCCTTTACCTGTTGTTACTCTACTGATTTTCATTTCCGTCTCTTTTCTTGCTGCTCCGGCATGTTTGCCTCTATTTCCCCTAAATCTCTTATCCCACCACCGTGGTCTCTGCTGTTCACCATTAGTATCAGTGTTGTGTAATAGGGAGCAATCAAGGGAACCAACCATCATGATGTAACATGTTAATACGGCCAAATGAAAGCATCACAGTTTCCTTTTGGATCAGATGATGCAGCATCACCAGATAACAGCAAATCAGAGTCACAGAAACACTGGACCCTCTTAACATTGCTACTATGTTAGAAACACACGAAACTTTGAAGAACATTTTTACACCATTCGTTTAAAAAAATACACACGCTGTTATCACCTCATTCGGTCACATGGAAACTAAAAACGTAAACACAAGCACATGTGAGCTCTCTATGCAGAGGGAGCTGAAAGGGCAGACAGTGTGTTGTTAGAGCCTGGTGATGTG